TTTTTTTTTTTTTTTTGGGGTTGGGAGAGAGCGGAGGGGGAAGATGGAGGGGAGTGCTTTTCTTTACTCCGGTAATGAATACATTTTCTATTATTTTCAGATTCTAATGACTTTAGCTTCAAAAAAAAAAAATAAAAATAAAAAAGAATGCAAACAAAAATATTTATTTTTTCATTCATTGTATTACTTTGTTTTTTATTTTTTTATTTTTGTCTATCTTGACTTTTACTCGTATCCTAATAACCAACTTCCTGGTTTTTTGTCGAAAATTTCCTTTTCAATACTTTTTTTTTCACACTTGCCACATCTACGATAGCGAACTATGTGCAACACTGGGTGCGCTGATGCGGAATGCTGGATTTTCCATTCGACCACTGATTTTTCCATTCCCACTTTTTGTCGCCCGCGGGCCTATCGGCACCTCACAAACCCCGGACCCTCATTTGCCCTCTGCTTTGTTCCTTGCCCCTTACGCTAAGCCGCTGGCACATTAGCAGTATCAACAGCTTCTTTTGCTAGCCAAGGTTAGTTGTCATCTGTTGCTGATGGATGCTTACATGGGACAAGGGCTGCAGTTGAGGGTTTTTCTACGCTACCAGTTTCTCACTGCTGAAGCTGATTTCTTTAAATATTTGTGAAACAAAAGAAGACATTATGAAAGACGCATTATGGTTTGGTAAAAAACATATGGCAGCCTGATAACTCAAGTTGGTTCAGAAAAAGATTAATGGATCTACGTTTGTCGCGGCTTTCCTTTATTTATTTATTTATTTAATTTTTTTTAGAACAGCAGTTGAAGCTATGTTTCCCACTGTTATTTGTTGATTCCGTTAATTGCTGAAGAAGGTGAGAAAAAATTGCAGTTGTTAGAAGAGAATTTTTTGGCAGATTCTAACTTGCAGTCGGCAAGTTTTTAATTTACAGTTTTCAATGTACGCGACTTATTATAAATGAAATAGCGAGAAAAAGGGCAGCAGAAACAAGTCTTTGACCAGTTGCGGCAAAAAAAGCTAGTAAACTGTGATATTCACTTTCCTTTGTGCTTCCCTCCTACTTCCTAATTTATAAGTAAAACTCTTTAGCTGGAACTTCACCAGGATAGTCCCATGAGGAGTCGGTAGATACAGAACGCTATGTATTGACGATCAGAAGAAAAAATTAACTTCAGTGACAAATTTTGTAATTGTTTATCGTCACTTGTACTAAAAGTTTAGTTTCTGTTGCTGCAGCTACTTATTTATAACAAACAGGGAAATAGATGAGAACAGGTGAAGTTTGGTGAACAGGGAGTCAGTCTGAGTGCAGTAGTATCAATAGGCTAATTTTTTCACCGTTTTTCATCAGTTCATTGATGGTGTACGTCTTCATTAGCACTGCAGTTGTCATTGGCTTTGAATCAGATTTCTCAGTCAATTTCTCAGCCACTAAACAAATCTTATCCATCTTTATCGCTGCTGTCATTTGATATTTGGTTAGGTTCAAAAAGATGAACAAAAAAAAAGTCTGTTCATTTTTCTTCTTCGCTTCTTTTTTTTTTTTTTTCATTTAACCCAGAAGATGATGAAGCTTGGTGAGTTGAATATGTGGAACACAGATAACTACTGTCATATGTTTCAGTAAAGTTATTTTCGTGATTTCAGGCAAAAAAATGCCTTATTTTTTTCTCTTCACTAGAATTTTTTAAAAGAAAGTTATTGAATTTATTTGGAACTGCAAAAAGATTGAAGTGGGTTTTAAGATGATCAACAGTGATATATTTAAGCGGTGGATGATGTTCAACGAAAAGTGTCAAAAACGCCTCCCCAAAACATGACGCAAACGAGTGATTGTGTCTTTTAATTCAACCAGCCCTTTACTCCATTATTGCATCCCCCCATCCCCTTTCTACTCCCTTCCTTTTACCCCTTTTCTGCAATCTCCTTTCCTCTACTTTGTCTCCTAAAAATCCTTCTTTCCGCCTAACAATTTGTCTTATAGTTTTCTTCTCTAGTTTCCACATGTTTAGTCCATTATTTTTCAGATTATCACTTTGCACTTTCTTCCATCTATATAAAAATATTAACAGTCGTGAGAACCGTTTTTTTTACCGTAATTGTGGTGATGGAAAGTGGAAAAACGACAACGGTTGGGTAGAAGTGTGCCATGCTTCATTTGCAATGTAGTAGTTGAGCAACATAAAAGATGTCATTTGTAGGGTTACTTCAGATGCTACCATTACGGTTGTTATTAAAAATGGAGGTTTTGTAACGACTTTGAGGTAGGCTATCTGTAGGTTTTCTTTAATAGCAAAAAATTCCGGTACATTTTGTCTCTTATAATTTTTGATGCTGTTGAAAACGGAAAGAAATTTTTTCGCTTGATTTATTTTTACTAGAAATCACAGTATTCATGTGTCAAATTTGGAATGCAATTGTTGTCGCTCATTCGATCTGCTAATCTGTCTTGATGCTATTAAGGAGTAAGAGCAGGCATCGGCTCTGAGTTGTGCTATTTTACAGTGACTGAGAATTTTAACACTTTTTTTTTGTTTTTGTGTGAAACTATCTTGGAACAGCGGGGGACAAACGTGGATTTGGATGACTCTTATATCTTGGTAAATCCTAAATGTTGTTGCTTGGGCTTGTTGAAAAAGAAGGAAGTAATATTAGTCGGAAATGTTGACCAAAAAGAATACTATTTATTTGTTTTGGTTTTATGGATCTAAGAAAAGAAAGTATTATGGGTTGAAGAGTGGTTTTTTTCTGAGCTAATCGGTGAACGAAAATTTTTATAATATGATTTTATTATTTTTTTCGAAACATTTAGAAGCTTACTGGTATCAGTGTTTCTCATAAATTGTGAAGTTTTTTAAAAGTCAATTCTTGTGACTGTTTGATATCATTTACTGTCTACTTAGGGCCATTTTTTGTGAATTGTAACTGTTGAGGAAGGAAAAAAGTATTTGCAGATGTCAAATATTAAGCGGTGGTTAAAGCATAAAAACCTAAAAAGTATTTTAAAAAATTTACATTTTATTGGCTATTTTCTGGAAAAGCTACATTGAAGGAAAGCCTTAAAGATGTAATAGCATAGAATTATCAATGAGATATATTGCAAAAGGCAAAAATTAGTTTGATGAGGTTGATGGTTCAGTTATTGAGAACAAAATCTATGCTAATATTAGCAAACCAATACGTTTAACCACCGCCTTTCAAGCAGATTTGCATTTTTTTCATCAATCTACCACTGAAAATGTGTCTAAAATAAAGTGTCATCAAATAGCTTCTCTTTTTCAGCTTTATCTGCTTTATTAAGAGCTACATTTTTCCTTTCTAAATTTTTTATTTGTCTTACAAAGATGTTTTCCTGATTTATCACAGACCAAGAAAGCAGTCGAAGAGTGGCAGTTTTCCTCTATCCTCACCGATTATCATCACTTTTAGTCGTAGTCTCTCCTGATTTTGGTGACGTTTTGGGCGAAAAAGTACTAGTGAAGCGGGGGATATGACCGAACAGCGAGTTAAAGTATATAGATGGGGAAGTGTTGGGGAATGAAGAGGATTAGAAGACTGTAATAAGTATGGTATAAACAATGACCATAACATTATAATTTAGTCTTGAAGAAGAAATTGGCGAGGTGCCTTGACTACTGTTTTGCTTAATACGAATTGCAGGGAACTATGGTTACCCAATTTTTCATTTGGTGTGGTATTCTTTGAATCATAAGGTGACGATGGGTGTCTGCTGATAATATTTTTTTTTTGAAAATAATCGTTGACAGTAGAAATGCTGCGACAAAAAAGTTGCATTATTTCATCTTAATTTGTTGCAACAAAAGAAAAAAAAAAGATTGACATTCAGTTAAGTTATTCTCTCTGTTTTGTTTTTCCTTTATCTATTGAATAAAATTGTCACTATTGCAGACATATCTACTGATGTGATTTTAGTCTTTGTGATAACTAAGTATATAAAAAAAAAATCGAAAACGATGTAACAGGAGCGGTGATTGAAGCAGAGAACAGATTGTTGAAGTATAGAAAAAAAGAAAAATGTTCATTTTTTTTTAGGATTGGAATTGAGTGTCAAAAATTCTTTGGTGAAAATACTAATTTGCATGCCACTGAGCTTTAAACAGATTGTTTTTTATTGATAAACAAGGCTTAACGTATCCGAGACGCATTTCAAGAGCACGCAATTACCTCTACCTTGTTATTCTTTTTTTTTTCATTTCTTTTTTCTAAACGTCTTCTTTTTTTATTAATCTTTTGATTTGTTACTGTAGAAAAATATATACCGCATAAAAAGTTACACCTACGAGTAAGGTTCTGAAAGCTGTTGATTTAGAAAACGCAGTTGACTGGAACAACTAACCAATGCGTTGAAATGTTTACTGGACATTGTTGAGAAATATACCTAACAATTTGTGATTGCTGTAATAAGTTGTTTAAAATGGACAGCTCTTTCTAAGTCAGGATTAGGTTTTTGCGCTGATAAGACAAGGGGACAATAAACAACTTTTACCGAGTAAGAACGTTGATTACTTGAAGATTGATATATCAGATAATTATCTGGGAATTGCTTCTGTTATTCCTTTTTTTTTTTCAAGATTTAAACTGCGGTAATTTTTGTCTATATATGTTGTCTGTAAACTTACTTTATTTAAAATAAAATATTTTGACATTGAAAAATTCTGCGCTATTTCTATTTTCAGTATTTTTTGCCTGCTTCTACTAACGCATTTTTTCCGCATCGAATATTACACTTATTTATTAATGTTGGCGTGACCGAACCTAATAATAATGGCGCTCACTTGTACCTTTTTTTTCAAGCAGCCTTTTCAGGATGGAGTTGACGATGAAACACAAAAAATTTTCAGCGATTTGTTTAGCAGAATCTGAAGACAGAAAAAGTGCTTTTAAAGTGCGATCTTTACTATTATATTTTTATGTTTTATCATTTAACAAGATTGACTTTCTAATTCTTTATTTTTTGTAATATCTAAAAAAACTGATTCACTGTTTTTAAATATTGGTATTATAAAGGTAGCTGATTTTCTACAACAAGAGCCTCTTTAATGTATAAAGTAATTATGGAGGTTCTGATTATCGTTTTTAATTTTATCAAGCAAAAAAATTTTTTGATAAGTTTTTTTCTGTCAAGCACGCTGCTCAACGTCGATAAAATGCAGCACAGATACGGTAAAAAAGAGTCAATAATGACAAATGAAGGAATGGGTATTACTATGTTTTTTGTCTGCTTAATCATTACTACAGCTAACACTGGAAAAACGATAACCTCTTCCTTGAGAGTCTATTGAGAGAAACAGCAACGACAACAGTAACCGCATGTTACAGATGATTATGACGTCTTTTTAGTAGTAACCTTAAACACCATTGATGCCTCTTCAGACGTTAGTTGAACCATCTAGAAGAATTCTTTTAAGTTGGCAGAGTTAGCACCAAATTTTTAGACTACATTAGTTTAGCAAGATTATTTTCAGGATTTGAAAACTGGGAAACCACTTTCTAATTGGACATGCGCAAATATCCAGAATGAGCTTCAACAGATGGAAAAATTTGGAGAAATTGCTTCCTGCTCTGAGCTAGTAAACTCGTTGCGGAGTTCGTTGATGCCAACGCTTCTGCAAGGATGGCCGGGTGTTTTGGGGCTGTGTGCTGCCGGTACAACTTTACAGCCAACTTCGTCGGATGCGCCTAAAAGGGCCCGTTAGTGCTTATATTAATTTGTACCCTCTTTGAACGCATGTTTAGAAAAACTTTTAGAACTTTTTTAGAGCTTTACTTAAACTGTTAGATTAACTGTATTCTTTTTTATAATAATAAGACTTTTTCTGGCGTTTACAAAAAAATTAAAATCAATTCGTTAGAGGTGGAACTGACAGCGACTTCTAACTTGACAGTGTTGCCGCATCTCTGGCAATTAATTTTAATGGTTTTTATTTTTTCTTTATTTATTTTCTTAGGTATTTTCTATTTATTTTCTTAATTAATTCTTAGGTCTTCATTCAAACTTTACTAGGAGAAAGGTCACCTTAACACCCTGTTAGGCATGGTAAAAATGTGGTCATTCATTGGTTTATCGGGAGTTTATCTAGCCTTATCTTCAGACATCAAATGCTTCTTGAACAACTGTTTAGTAATTCCTCTCAACAAAATGTTTTTTTAAAAAATTAAGTTTAAGAAGATTTGAGTTTTGAAATTCTCTGTCTTTTTTTCTTGGAAACTCGAAGGGAGCTATATATATATATATTTAAATCTAGTGTAATCTCAGTTTAGCTTTTGAATTGGAAGAATTTGAAATTTTCTTTGACGAGCTTATTAAAAGCAATTGGTGAAAGCGTAAAATACAGTTTGAAAAATGTCACACTTCAAAATGCTTAGCAAAAAATGGAGTAGAAATGAAGTTTTTCGGCTTTACTTTATTTTTTTCAAACCAAATGGCAAAAAAAATATGTTTTCAGTTTATTTTGTAGAATCTGATTAGTATTTGTAATTAATCAAAGGAGATTCAGAATGTTTACTGTGTATTGATTGTTTTATGCCTTATGTTTATGATCGGGAATCACAAAACTCTACCGGAAAGTTTTGTCATTCCAAAGACTGAGAAGTCCATTTTGGACCTAGACAAGCAAACAGTTTTAAAAATTGAAGCAAATTCTTGTTCAATCGTTCCATGTCATTTAGTGGATTTTTTTGGCACTTTTTTCTTGCTTTTAGGGTCGCAAGCATCTGAATCAACCAGTGGTTGTGAAGCATCTCCAGCTGACGACAAATTGCTGGACGGGTCTATTAGAGAGCCAAACGAATTCAAAAAAGCGCTTAGCGACGACATCAAAGCAAGCGTTGTTGATGAGAGGATTGCTAAATTTGAAGCCACGTCCGATTGTTTGTCACCGGATCCCAAGGCGAAAAACCTGCTTCAACAGGTTAAGCCTACTATGTTATTACTACCGTTTTTAGAACTGCCTCAACAATCTCGTTGAACGTTAAATTTTCCTTGTGTTTTTGCGGTAATGCAAAACCAATTTTGAAGCAGTGTTTACGTGACGCAAAATTTTCCGTTCCGTTATTGTTGATCCTGGATAAAGAACTCCTTCTGGATGTTTTTCAAGTGTCATTCCATTTGTTATATTTGTTACTCTCCTGGTGAAAAGGAGTCTATACTTTAGCCTGCGAAAAACAATGGGAAACGCCGAGTGCAATGTATTAAGTGTCTGAAAACTTTTTGCGATAAAGGAGCCTTAAAAATACATAACAGTGCTGTACATCTCAAAGAAATGCACAAATGCACAGTCGATGGTTGTGAGATGATGTTTTCATCTAGAAGAAGCAGGTAACCTAGCAGAAGCATCAATCAGAAACTTCTTAACGGCCAACTAAAATTTACACAGTCTCAATATTATTGGTGCTAGTGCTTGCTGTTAGACAAAAAAAGAATTCTTTTTACTGTTTTCAATTGAAAACAGTCATCATAAATGACTCGTAAATTTCCATTTGATTTATAAACAAACAAAACGACAGGTTATTCAAAGTTGCCTCGCTCTCTTTCTTTCTTTTTTCTTCGCTTTTTCTTTCTCTCAAAAGAAAAAATTTAGGAATCGTCATTCGGCCAACCCGAATCCAAAGCTGCATACTTCTGCTCCACAACGGCAATTTGATGGCTTTTCAACTGATGCTGCGCACGATGCTTTACAGTCTTCAAAGACGGTTTGTGGCTACAGCCATTTTTCATCAAATACCAGTCGCTATGAAAACTGTTTCAGGGCGGCATCATAATTTGAGGAATCTGTAACGGTTATAACTTCAATGTTTAACTATAACAAAACTGTTTTTTAGGATAGTCTCTCCTTTTTACCATGTTCATCGGAGGTAATCAGTGTTAATGTACACTCGCCTATCTCACAAACGGGTAGTGAAAATTCAGTTATTGCACCAACGTCATTTGGATCTAATGTGAGCGAAAAAAGTACCCCAGTAAGTAGTGGGACAAGAAAACGAAAAAGCGAAAGGCCCGTAAAACTAGCTGTTGAGGAAGATGTTAAGGTGAGAACACTGTGTCTTTTAAGCGAGGTAAATTTATTGGGAGGATGGTTAACAGATGCTCTCGAAAAGTATATGATGACGATTAGACTATTTTGTGCTTCTACACTTCTACAAATCGCATTTTTTAGCAGGCTCGGAAGAATGTAGAACGTTCTGATCTTGGCGAAGCCTCTACTCCATTAGATCTTACTAATGGCAAAAATGAACCAAAACCTTTCACTGTGGCCGGATCGACTAAAACTAGGTAACAACAATCTTACGGCAATGGTTGCGATAACGCTAACTGGTTATCTCTAATTAATCTTTAATTAATTAAAAAAGACTTAAATTATGTATTGGGTTCCAAAAACTGTTTTGCTTTCTTTAAGAAGGCAGTTTCAGGTAAATTTTGAAATTTAAATTTATTGTTTTGCAGTTCCTTGCCATCTAAATTGTTCACGTCGTTGGCACCTTCAACAGCCCTTCCGACTGCAGCACTGATGTCACCAGCATTTAGTGAAGTTTTTCGGTTACTGCAGGCTCAGATGTCAGTTGGTCCCAATCCATGCACCAATAACAATTTTATTCAATTTATGCAAGAGCATCAAAATGCTGGCATTTAAGGCTTTATTATTATTGTTATTATTATTTTTTTTTTGTACTTATATAAACTATAAACACTGTTAATGTCTGAAATTTTTTCATTTGCAGTTTTTTTTTTGTTCTTGTCCTTCTTTTGAATAATTATTTCTATAAAATTTTCTGTTTAACAGTTTAAAAACAAAAGTATTATAAAAATACACATTTATGGCCTCCAAGCACAAGATCATAAATTTGAATTTTCCCGAATGTTGGTCAGAGCTTAAAGTTCTGTTTATACAACTAAAACTTTGCATTTGAAAACAGTAGTTTTTTCCGGAGTGGTGATCGATTAAAGCTATTATGGAAATCTGAGTGCGATTAAAGTTGCCTTTATCAAATTTTTTGCCTGACTGCAGTTTCTATTCCTTTTCCAGTTGTTTTTAATCTCCACTTTGAAACCTTGCCGTTCGGATATATGTTCCTTCCTGCTTATTTATCCATTATAGGTTGCTTGATTTGAATAAATGCATTTTTTTTTTCGAAAAAATTTGCCACAGGTTTAGTTTTACTTTTTTAATTGGAAGCAGAACACAAAAAAGGAAGATTCAGATTGTTAGAGCTGATGTACAGCGTGTTATCCGGCTTCTACCACTTATTTTCTGCTATAACTTTGACATCAATATTGATAATGACCTTTAAAAAAGTGTAGTGAATTGCTGTAAAAATAAAAGAAAAGAGTGTTTAAGTGGTACTGTAACATGGTTTTAAGCTGACTTCTTTATATTGTATTGTCAACTGTAGTATTGGATTTAAAGGCATTAACAAGTTTTTCAGTCAGTAAATTTGTGTTCGTGATTTTGGCGTATTATTAGATTCTAATGTTGAGAACTGTGAATGCTCGACAAGACCGCAAAGCTTACACATGAAGAATATGTGGTATTTGTCGAGTAAAAAGCTCTTCGTTATTGTCGTTGATTCATATAAACACTTTTAGACTATTTGATAAATATGTCATTGATGGTGCACAGTAAACAACAGTGGCAGCAGCTTATTTGAGCTTAAGCTAGTTAATTGTATTTAGAGCACCAAGATGGATCCCTTATGGTATAAATTGCTTCTTTGTGTCATTCTTTAGCATTTTTTTCGAAGAAACATCATTGGTTGCACTGAAATTTTGGTAAACTTTCTGATTTGTTAATTGTCAGTTGAAAGGCAAATTTAAGGAATAGAAAATAAGTTTGTTCATTAAATAATAATAATTCTAAAGAAAATTAGAATTTTTGTTTACAGTTGTCTTTTTTTCTTCATTTTTACTGCCCGTAAAGACCGTTAGGTCTAGGACAGGAAGAAGACAGGAATAATTTCGGAAGTTCCTGTCGTTAAGTGCTGCCTGCTTGGTAATCGTTACTGTATTGCTCTCCAAAGTTATGGACAAAAAAACTTTACAATAAACACGTGGGAGGTTTGTACGGTAGGTAAAAACTGGAAGTTTTGTATCTCTCATAATTCTTTTTTGTTCACGGTATTCGGTTGAAAGACAAAAAAACTTTCAAACTCTTTTTATTTACGGTATTTCATTTTCCGGTTTGAACATAGTTTACAAAACGCACTTGTCATGGAGCCTGTACATTAGGTAATCCGAGAAAAACCAATTTATTAAATAAATCATTCTGTGTAAAACTGTGAGGGGTTAAGCAATTAAGGGTCAAAATAAGTGCAACTTTT